AATTTTTTCTTTTCCTCTTGCCTCTGTATAATGCATATTAAAGTTCATAAGTGCAGCATACAGACCTGCGCGGGATGGATTTTTCAGTCCCGCTCCTGCAGAAAAATATCTTATCTGGTCCCGCTCCCGCCCGCGACATTCATATTTTGTCCCACTCCCACCCGCATAAGACCGCATAAAAGTAATCTATATAGATTTATTTTCTGTAGTTACATCGAAGAAATTTACATGAAATGATTCTGCAACATCTCCTAAGCTCCACAACATCCCAGCATAAACACTCCCAATAAAATATTTGTTATTTAGGCTAAGCATCAACATTCACAAACCACTGGGCTTCTGCGTGCATGGTTTGTAATGGAATTTCTTGGTAAATAACACAGCACTGTAAAAAAAAAGGTAAACCAAAATGTGCATCTTTAGTTATATCAAGGATCAAAACAAATATAAATAACACATTTAGGTTAAAAGTTACACACTTTGCGTGTGAGTGCTGTACATTTCTGGTATAAATAAAGTTTTTGCTAAGGTGGTGGAAATGTCCACCCAATAGAGAAAAGTTGTGCTTAGCAAGAGGAGGGGAGAGAAGGAACATTGATTCTGGCTAATATTATTTTTAGTAGCTATTGTTGAACTATTGTTCAAGGGCCAGAGGTTTCAAACAAAAATAAATTAATAAATAAATGTCTAATTTACTGGCTGGGACTCAAACCTGGGACCTTCATGCTGTAAGTAAACTGTGCTACTCACTGAGCTACTTTGTATTGTTGTTGGTCACTCTTTATATAATTTAATGAAATACAGTTTTACAGAAGATTGATTAGTGTGAAAGAATATGAAAAATGCATATGAAGAAGAGAAGCATTATTATGAGAAACTCCACAACATCATCCATGACAGGTCAAAGGTCACTAAAATATATTTCTTTAAAATTGTTTTTTTGTTTGTTTTTTTCAGCACATTTTGAAGGTATTTTATATGAAATAGTTTAATTGTTACTTTTTGAAAAGCATTTTTTTCCTAAACTAAATTGAGTGTTACTAACAGCTGAGGTGTTTCTGCTCTCAGTGTGTTGAAGTGTTGTTTCTCTCTCTCTGCTGGAGTTTGTTCACTCGAGTGGAATAAAGGTTTTTGTACGAGTCTTTCATTAGATTGTATCACTGTGGTACACATTCGGTGGAGGAACTAAACTGGTGGTGAAATGTAAGTGCTTTTTAATTCTCCATTAAAATCATACAATTTAGATTGTATAAAATGTTTTAAAAAATTGAAACAGCAAAATTGTTATTATTGTAACAATACATTTTATTTTAAATAAATATTTACTCTAAAATAGTGGTTAGATTGTTTACAGTTAAAAAAAAACGTTTAGACATTCAGAAGAACTGAATTATTTACATTAACAAACAATTCCTGTCTAAACATTATTTTGTTATGTATCTCACTGTGACTTTGATCAGTTTATCACAGTTTATTTTTCTTTTATTCATTTCTACATTGTATTCATATGTAGCTAATCTTATTATTGTAGATGTCATACACGGAAAAAAGAGATTTGACATTAAAATGGAAAAGCTGCTATTTTCTGTTTTGCTCATGTTGTTCTTTTAATTCAGTGGTTTCGATATACATACAAAATATGTGTACATTTTTAAACTCATTTGATTCAGTTGTTTTCTAATTCTGAACAGTAACATGTTGCATTTTGTAGTGAAATGATGTGTGTTTGAAATTACGTTTGAAAAGTATAAAAAAGATGACCTGAATATCTCACATAAGCAAACTGTTATGTCAGAATATAAAAACTAGTGGAATTAAATCAGTCAGTTTTTAGTTTCAATAATGAGGTTTGATTTAAATGTGTAAAGTGTTTGTGTAGTTTGTATATTGTGTATATATTGGCTCAAGAGATCTTTAAAAGGATGCTATTTTTATACTGGTTTTTTCTTCATTCTGTCTGCTGGTGAAAGTCTTGTTGAAAT